GTAGAATTCTGACACTACTTTTGGCATCATTCTTCTAGTTAGGTGGTTTCAATCTTACATAAATAATAATGGGGAAAAAGTTAAAAAAAAATCAAAAAAATAAAATAAATAAAAATTGTGGGGTCATTTGACCCCACATGACCCCATGTGGGGTCCGCCCATGATTGTGGTGGCAATGTGGGCCCTCCAACTAGAAATGCATACATTCCTAGTCCGAATATTAAGAGTGTATATCTCGTATACGTAATTAACCAAATTTTGGTCCTTTTTCTTCTTAATCCTATGCTTGGTCTCCCATTTTTTTTTTGGCCAAGAAGCGATTTTCTCTACAATGATGTGGAGCCGATTTATTTTTTATAATATATCTTAGGCCAATGATGACATCAAAGAATGTAAATTTCCCATCATTATGCCTTTTTTACTGTAAAGTCGAATTTGTCATTGACTAAATTTGTAAGAAAAACCGACACAATGACACTTCATAGGTCCCGCGAATTTATCGAGGGGTGCATTTTGATCTTTAGACATGCTTGTTGAGCATATATGTGTTACTTGAAAAATTCGGAATCAAATCTATTAAATTTTCTTTAAAATCTGATAAATAAATAGACCAAATACGGGCTTAATCCTATTCATTGTTTGATCCACACATTACAAACGCCATAAAGATTCTAACTCTGTGCAATAGAAGAGTGATGAATGGTCCACTTCAACATTGATAGAATGAATATTGTCAAGATCAGCAAAATTGGTGAAGTATCAAAAAGTTTGGTAATAATGCTGTTATTCTGAAAAGAAGTACCTATCACCCATCAAATCTTACAAACTTCGGTGAAACCAACATACTTTTCGCACCATCCATTCCCTCTTCTGATAACTGTGCACCAGAGATTTTACCTTCCAAAACAGTAAATTTTTGACCAGATTGAAAGCCACTTGCAGAATTGCACATGATGGTTCTACCTACCGGTAATCACTGCTCAATATTTACTGCACTTCAACGAACATAGATAAACATGTAAATACGTTACAAGCGCATATAACTCTCAACTATGAAAGAGATAGCTTGTTGTCTACCCTCCCACCAGAGCAACCTAAAGAAACCCCAGAAGATATAAAAGAGTGACCCATAAACAGTAGAAAAATACAATTGTATGCACTGTGCATGTGTGTATATAGAGAGAGAGAGAGAAGGAGAAGGAGATGAAGATTTCATCAAAGCCAATATCAAGTCCAAGCAGAGCAGAGAAATTTCCACCACCATTGGTGATGTTCTTGAGGAGTAATGGCAGTAGCAGAAGCAGAGGTAAGTCACGTGCAAGCCCAATCTTTTACTTTCGCAATAAAAAGAATTCAGCAGCGATAGAAACAGATCAAGAACCATCCTCACCCAAAGTCACTTGCATTGGTCAAGTCAGAGTTCGAAGGTCCTCTAAAACCTCACGGCCCAAGAAAGCTGGCTGCGCCACCAACCAAACCCGCCCCTGCCGGTGGTTCAAGAAAATCCTGTGTCAGAATTGTACTTCAAGATTTCATAAACCAAAGGCCTTCCGCCGGTTTTTTGTCAAATGGGATTTGTTTTTCCGGTCTGGATGTTGCAAGAAAGGTGATTCCAAAGAGGATTCTTTCGGGGTTGAACCAATTCAGACAAGTCATAAGGTTCAAAATCATGTTGATAATAATTGCGAAATTCTTGTACCTCAATTTCAAGAAAATGAAGCGGATTTTCTTGGTTCCTCTAATGAAATTCTTGGAGCCCAAATTCAAGAAAATAAAGGGGATTTTCTTGATCCCTCTTCTCCACATGTCGATAATAATCATGAAATTCATGAAGCCCGAATTCAAGAAAATAAAAGAGATTTTCTTGGTTCCTCTTCTCCACGTGTGGTTGATAATCATGAAATTCTAGAAGCCCAAATTCAAGAAAGTGAAAGAGATTTTCTTGGTTCCTCTTCTCCACGTGTTGATAATAATCAGGAAATTCTCGGAGGCCAAATTAAAGAAAATAAAGGAAATTTTCTTAATTATTCTTCTCCACCCAAGATCGCTTTGCTTTTGACTAGGAGCAGATCTGCTCCCTACAGGTCTTCGTCATTGGCCAGCCGGTTTTGGGGTTCTCCCCCATTAGCTACACCAGAAACAGAGAATCAAACAGAGAGGGAAGCAAAAATAAAGAATGAATTTCAAGAATTAAAAAATCCCAGTTGTGAAAATGTGGCCATTGAGTCAAGAAATAGCCATGGAGGACAAGAATTTGAAGGTTCATTAAATAACGTTCAAAAATTGAGTTCAACTGTGGGAGGTGTTACAGTGCATCCTTTACTACTTACAAGGTGTAAATCAGAACCAGCAAGAACAGGGGAAAGGCTAATGCCAGAAGCCAATTTGTGGAGGCAAAGAAGGTTAGGTGGTGTCAGTTATTCACAACATTAATTAATTCATAAGGGATTTTGTCATTTTTCTTAAATTTTGTTTTTTGAAAAATTGTAGTGAGTATATTATAGGAAAATTGGAAGTTGGTGTTTCGACATATTGTCATTTTGAGTACTTAGGTTCCTAATAAGATTTTCTTGATTTTTATATTCTTAAACTCTCAACTTATGTACACATAAGTTACTTTGGAATTTATAAATGAAAAAAAAA